CAAGGAGGAAGTAGCTATTAAGAATGGGTTTCAGGGCCAGCAGAGTGGCTCAGTTGGTTAAGTTAGCTTAATGGCGCAAGCTCTGAGCAACAGCCCTGCCGGTTGGATTCCCACATGGGTCAGTGATGCAGCACCCAAGCTGAGCTGCTGCTGAGTTGCCAACAGGTGACAGGGCTCAGCTGGTGAGAGCATATGCTCCTAGCAACAAGACTGCTGTTTGATGGTGGGTTACGCCTGCCCGCAACTAAGACTGAACTCAGCACCTTGAGCTGAACTGCCACTGATGGCTCAGTGAATAGAGCATGCACTCTTAATAACAAGGCTGCTCTTAATAACAAGGTTCGACTCCCGCATGGAATGGTGGCTACGCCCAACCACAACTAAGATTGTAACACAGCACCTTGAGCTTAGAGGCCACGAATTACCAACGGGCAGCCAGATGGTCCAGATGGTGACTGGCGCCCTCCACAACTAAGATTGAAGAACAACAACTTGGCTGGTCCCCCTCCCCAATTCTCCAACACTGTTCCTCTCCCCCAATTAAAAATAATAAATAAATAAATACATAAATACATAAATAAATAAACAAACAAATAAATAAAAAATAAAAAGAATGGTTCTCAGAAGTTCTCATTTGCAGGTGGCTCTGATGGACTAGGCAGCCTGGGGTTGGTTACCCTCCTCTCTGAGGCTGAGCTTTCTTTAAACTCACAGAATGTCTTTCTACCCAAAAATTATCCAAATGGATGTCTATGGAAGCAAACCCCAGCATTCCAGATAAACTGTGAAGCCTGAAGCGAAGCAGGTTTTCAAGAAAACTGTGAAACCAATTGCCCCTTTGAAAATTTGTGAGGTTTTGTTTCAGCTCTTTTGATTTGACACAGTTCTTCTGTTTCTTTCTAAGAGGTTTATTTTATTGTGCTTTTAATGCTATCTTTGCCCTCCAGAATGGTGTTCTAAGCAGGCCAAGCCTAGGTTTGAGCAGCTGCTGGCTCTGGACTTCACAATCCATTTCACTTCTTACAAGGTAGTTGGCTATCAAAACAGAAGTTGTATTTGTGTCCTAGGGGAGAGCTGGCCTCTCCCAAGGGGGTGCATGAAGTGGGGCTGGGGGCTAGATAACAAAGGTGTGCTAGGAATGTATTTCTCCGCCTGGTCTGGATTTTTCAGTGACTGTTCCGCTCTCCGAGTCCTTATACACATGCTTATTTGTAGTTTTGTTTTTCACTATAATTTTTTGTGCTATAATTTTTAAAGAATATCTATTTATAATTTTATTTTTCTGTATGTCCAACGTGTTTTAAAAAGATTTTAGGGTAAATTACAAAGAAACATACAACAGAGCAACAACAACAACAACAAAATAGCAAAAACTTCTATGTGCTTACTAAGTGCCAATAACTACTTTTAGACTCATTCAATCCTCACAGCAGTCCTGTGAGGTGGATAGTATTATTAGCCCCACTTTTCTAGATGGTGAAACTGAGGCACAGATAAGTTAAAGAACTTGCCCAAGGCCACCAAAGTGGTAAGTGGTGGAACTAAAACTCAACCAGGGAGGCTGGCTCCATATCTGTACTCTTAACTAAAAGGATGAGCTGAGAAAAAAAGTGAGATGTGGGGAAATGACGGCAGATGCTCATTTATGTATCTGTCTTTTTTGCTAGACTGTGCTTTGCCTGAGAATAAGGACTAGCAGATTACAGGGATTCAATACATGTGTTCTTTGATTGTTTCAAGACAACTGTCTAATTCTATAATACTTCCCCTTAACACTGCTGGTTCCCTGTAATAAGTAGTTGTGATTACTCATACTGTGCAGTAGTGAGGAGTAGAACTAGCCCCTTCCATTACATTTCAGAACACGTGATCTCAACACCTCCTTGACCCTCCAGGCTGACCTTATGCTGAGAAGTAGTTCCAACTCAGGTAGTGGTCCTTCCTAGGCTGTGCTCAGGGAACCCATCTCAGATAACACAACCCTTAGAGGAGCAGCATGAAGATCCCCACTCAGATTCCCCAAAATAGCTCCCTGTGCCTCCTGCCATCAACAGTCCATTCTTTCTTTAGACATGCTCGTTATTTCATGGGATTTAGGGTAGCATCAGAAATTTAAGTCTTGGCTCTGCCACCTATTAGACAGATCATCTCAGGGGCTGAGAGGTGAAGATATGTCTGGCATCATCAACACTGCAGGGGATCCTAGTCCAGAATTCATTTCTTCCTCCTCTGAAGTCTTGAAGCAGGAGAAATGGACTTAGATTAGGGAGCATCCAGCCTCATTATTCCCCAGATCTATCACCTTAAAATTCCCTGTATCTGTTCTCCATATACCTCTAGAGCTTATGCCAACTAGTTGAAGAGATGCTTAAATACATTTCTTGTTTCTTGTTTCTCTCCTTTAATCAAACCAAGTTCCTTCATCCCCTACTATCCCCAAGCTAACGTAACTATAGAAATAAATCATCAAGTGGATAATGACTGTAGACAGAGCTTTTATCTTCTCTCTCAGTCTCACCCTCTCAATCCCTTTCACTGATGTCTACGGGATCCCCAAGAAGAACACACCTTTTTCTGTTAAGCTTTATGCTAGGCTTGTTTGTGAAAGGTCATGTGATATTCTAAAAATGGGTGCCTACCTAAGATTATGAAACTGGATTTTAGCTCTAGTATTGCAAATCTATCTTGGCTTTGGTTTCTGCCACTTGTAAAAAAAGGAAGATGGACGATGAGAGGAACGGCAAAAAAGTTGCATCTACCCATCAGTTGGTGGTAACTACTGAGAACCCTGTGACAAAAGGAATTCTGAAGTCATACCCAGACCCAGAGAGAAAGGCACAAGCATTGATTAGCAAGGCCTGTTTGGGCAAGAACTGGGAAGAACCATCACTTGCCATCCCAGGATTAGATAATCCTGTAGATTCAGCCCAGCTCTGAATTGCTGAGAATCTAAATTTTTCCATGTCCCCTTTTTCAGAATTGACCCGTGCTTTGTTGCTTTGGGGAATCCTTTCTCTATTTATACTGTCTTTTAGGGAACTCTTTAATCTATGATAAAGCACCAACCATGGATGAAAGCTTAGAGGTCACTACCATTACATTGTGTGATTGGGGTAAGTCACTTCCACAGCTTGGTTCTCAGTGACATGGGAAGAGAGGTCACAAGGTATCTATGGTCTCTTCCAAATACTGAGTTCCATGGATCCATTATCTTGGAGTCACAATGCTGTGGCACAAAGAAACAAGTGACTTACAGCGGATCAGTGGGATTTGAAAAGGTCTGTACTTTCCTTCTCTTTCTTCTTCTTCTTTGTTGTGGTGGGGAAGGTAATGGGCCTTTTCCAGCCCTCAGATCTCAGATCACACCTGTAGTCTACTCCCTCCCCTGAAAATTGGACCAGGCTGGCCTGGAGCAGTTGTGTGTATTAAAGGAAACACACAAAGAAGAGGCAGAGAGGCAGGGAGTGCAATGGATCAGTTAGGTCTACATTTTGGGGAAAAAAGACTATTCGAGGAGTCAGGAGGCAGGGCATATGGCCATGCACTGAAGATAAAGGATAAAAAGTATGGACGTGGGCTCTTAGACCTAGCAGAAAGTAGAAGAAAGGTGGGGGAAAGGGCTTATGTATGGTTGGGGCAGGTGAGCAGAGCTCAGAGATGATGGGGCATGGGATGTCTGGGTTCTGATCCGGTATTGACACTAATTTGCTGTGTGACCTTGGGCTTGAGAACTTTCCTCTGAGTCTCAGCTTTCTTATGTATAATAGAGAAAATAAGAACAGTTGATTCCTAAGGGCTTTCTGGTTCTAATATTCTGTGGGTCCAATTCCAAGTCCCTATAATTGTCTGTGTAGACAAGAGTTCCCTATATTGTCTGTGTCAAGATAGGTGCCCTCCATGTGTAAAGTTCTAAAAGCAGAGCGTTTGTATAGAACAGACTATCCTGGGAGGGAGGGTGTCTCTGCCTCCCAAACAGAGCATGCTAGAGTCTCAGAAGCCTGAGAAGACAGGCTGCTCCTATCAGGGACCCAGTAACTGTAGTGGGGCTTCCCAGGACATAAGCATGTTACTTGTCTCATCTCCCCCATTTGAATTTAAACTCCAGAGGAACAGAGCCTGCTTATTAGAATCTCAGACTCTTTTGAGTTAGAAGTTACTTTAAAGGGCATCTGGTCCCAATCTTCACCCCATGAATTGGGAATTTTCTCCATCCTTCCACCAAAATATGGCTCCCACGCCTGCTTGAATACTGCCCCCAAGATAATTTACATAGCCAATGGCAGAGTTAAATAATCCTTTCATTCAGCTTAGTGCCTGCCCCAGGACCCAGAAAATCTCACTAGATCAAACCACTAGGTCAGGATTTCAAGATGGTTCCTCTAAAACTAGCTTCAGAGTGCCAGCCTGCAATGTGAAACACTATTTTAAGCTTCTTCTCAGGGAGGGAGGTGGGTGGAGACATCCCAGGATTGGGAGTCACACAGGTCAGAGTTCAAATCTCACCTATGCTGTTTACTAGCTGGGTGGCTTTGAGCAAGGTACCCCAGCTCTCTGGGATGCTCACCTACAAAATGCCAGTAATAATCCCCCTCAGGGAACTATGGTGAAGATTTATCAGGTGCATGAAATGAGTGTTGTGCACACGCTCCCCCTAGCTCACACCATAGGGTGTGAGCACCCATGGGGACAGGAACTGTTTCTTAGTCAATGGTACGTGCCCTAGTGCTTAGTGCTGAGCATAGTGCTTTGCTAGGTGTGAAAATAGGAGAATAATGAAATAAAAACTAACTTGTAGGTGCTCCCAAAATCTAGAACAGAGCTCTGTACTCAGACATACCTTAGCAAGACGTATTCACAAACTAGCAAAAATCTGCTGTCTCCTGTCCTCGGAAGAAAGACTTGTTTGTATACTCAGTCTAAAACGGAAGTTTAAAAAAAGAGCCGATGTGTGTCTAGGAATAGAAACTGAAACTGTTTTTTTCACTTGCAGGCATCAAGTGAGACTAACAGCAACTCACTAAACGTGGACTCCCAGCTGCAGGAGAAAATGGTTGTGGATATTGGGACATGGGAGCAGATATTTCAAGAACTGTTCCAGGAGGTGAAACCCCGGGCCAGATGGACCCTGAAGTTGAATAAGGATCTTCAGCCAGACTGTGTGGCCCAAGGGTGGAAGCAATACCAGCAGAATGCATTTGGCAGGTAGGTGAGAGTTTGCCTGGCAATAGACCTTCCTGGGAAAAGAGGCTCAGCTTAACATTGATTGATTCCTTTGAGAGCTTGTTAAAAGAATAAATGTCAGCAGGCTTCCCGCCCACCATTATTTTTGTGGTTACAGTGTTGTTCTTTAGGATCTAAATAAGACTCCAAGCCTCTATTTTTCTGAACAGCAGGAAGTTTCTTCTTTTATTAGGTTTCCTCTCTAAAAATTTCTGGAAATCCCAAAGGAATGCTTTATGTTCCACGAATTTGTCCTCCTATTCCCTCACCACCTCCTTTGTTCCGGACTGCCTCTATCTGGCTAGCGTCTTTTGCTATGTCGCCTGTCGGTCCTGACTGGCTTCCCCAGGCTGCAGTGATCCTGCTAGCTTGCTTGTTCAGCATCAGTCTGGGACTGGGGCCTTTCTTTAAAGCCCAAGAGCTGACGACGGCAACGCAATCACTTTGAATGTTACTTTAGTGAAGGGCCTGGGGATAATAGGAGGGAACGATGCTGCAAGAAGGAAAATCTGAAACCTAGTTCCGGGAGGCCCAAAGTGGTGGCCCTCCCTTACTGGCCATCTCCCACTTTAACCCCCAGCGAGCCTCCAAGTTTCAGGAACCAGCTTCCTTGCCCATGTCAGGGGGGAATTGCTGACCTGGTCTGTAAAGTACTGTCCCCCCTGAAGGCCAGCTCAGCCATGCAGTAACAGGTGCACACCCCGCATCCTGCTTGGCGCGAAACCCAGCGGGAAATACATCATCCATATCCTGCTTGGCACAAGTACAAATTTCCCGTTGCCGTTGCCCCCAGCCGTTGCCACTGGTTACTTACTTCCCCCTATAAAACACTAGACCCTTCCCTCTCACGGCCTCAGCCCGGCAGGTTAATACACTTGCTTGCTTGAATATCGGTGTCTCTCGCCCCCTCTCTCCTCGGCAAACCTTTCATTTTGGTGCCAAAACCCGGGAGGGGCAAGACCAGGAAAGTGCTGGGTCGCCCTTACCCTCCTCTCCCTCCCCCGGGCTCGATCCACTCTCTGGTCTTCCTCCCAGACTTGCCCGGGAGACACCCGCAGGGGATTTCTCGCTTCCATTGCTGACCTCGCAGACATCAGTAGGCTAGTCCACATCTCCTATTTGGGTGAGTGTGGATGCCCTCCTCTCGTTCGGGTCTCCTGCTCTCTGTCTCCGCTCCTCAGTCCAAGATCTAGCGCTAGGCCAGAAGACTCCCTCGGCCCACGGGCCCTGACCCTCTCAGTCTGGGGACGCCCACCCTGAGAGATGTCTCTGGCACCGACCGGAGTAGGATATCAGAGGGTGGGACGCCTCCTCCCTTCATCCTCTTCCCAGCGGGGATTTCTGCCTTCACCCTTCTCTTACGTCTAACTCCCACCACGGGCGCCTCCTCGTCTCTCCCGCCTAAGGGCATGCCCATAGGCTGCCTTTTGCGCAGTCTAGATGTCCTCGGCCTGCGGAATGAAACTCAGCCTAAACGCTTCATTTTCTTTTGCAACACTGCCTGGCGTCGATATAAATTAGATCATGGATCTTAATGGCCCGAAAACGGACCCTTGGCTATAACACACTCAGGGATCTAGATAACTTATGTCATCGCAATGGAAAGTGGTCAGAGATCCCCTATTTTCAAGCTTTCTTTCGCTCCGATCCCATCCCTCCCTCTGCCAATCCTGTTCCACCTTCCAGATACTTCCAGCGCAGACCAAACCTCCCCCCTCCATCCCACTGCACCCCCTCCTTGCGCGCCTGCACTTTCTCTTTCTCCTCCAACCTCCTCCTCCACCGATAATTCAGACTCTGAAATCTCAGGGCTTCAGGCGTGGTGTCCCCAGCAAGACACGACTTCCCTTCCAGGCCCTCCTTGCCCCGCACTCACCCGCTTTTGTGCGCACCTTGCTCTGCTCCTTCTGCTCCGGGAGGTGGCTGGAGCAGAGGGCATGATCACAGTCCATGTCCCATTTTCTCTCTCTGATTTTTCCCCGTCTCACTGAGGCTCTTCAGAAATACAAGGGTAGACCCCTCATCTCCGGAAGGAGTCATTGCCCTTAACACTCATTTTGTCTCACAGTCAGCTCCAGACATCCGGAAAAACCTCAAAAAGGCTGAAGAAGGCCCTCAAACCCCTCAACGGGACCTTTTAGCCCTGGCCTTCAAGATCTTTCACAATCAGGACTAAAGTGCAAACTAGAAAAGGCCCGCAGAGATCAGGCAAAATGCCAGCTGCTGGCAGCGGCTATCAGGGGCTCCGACCGACCGAAAGGGAGCTCCTAACAGGGCACAAGGTCCGTCACCAAGGGGCCCACAGAAAGCCCCCACCACCACCACCACCATGTTTCAAGTGCGGCAAAGAGGGACACTGGGCAAGAGCTTGCCCCAGTCTGCAGCCCCCGCCCGGACCCTGTCTTTCCTGCTGTAAGTGGGGACATTGGAAGGTTGACTGTCCTTCCCAGGGAAGAGGCGTTTCCCTTCCCACCTCCCCCCCACACCACCCCAGGATGACGAGTCTCATCTCGCCCTGCCGAGCTTACTCGGCCTTACCGCAGAAGACTGATGGTGCCCAGGGCCCCCCGGCCCCATCTCCCATCACCACCTCGGAGCCCAGGGTAACACTTCTGGTGGCACGTAAGCCAGTCTCCTTTTTGATAGATACAGGGGCCACCTTTTCTACGCTACCTGAATTTTCGGGCCCCATGCACCCCTCTGAGGTCTCTGTTGTGTGTGTTGATGGCCTAATATCTCAGCCTCTCTCACCCCCCTTACTGTCGTGCACCATTTTTAACATTCTATTTTCATACTCCTTCCTGATCCTTCCCCGATGTCCCACTCCTGTACTAGGAAGGGACCTCCTTTCCAAGTTTAAGGCCTCACTCTCCTTCCAACTCCCAAACCCAGAGCCAGCCTTACCCCTCCTTCTCAATCTTATCCTCTCCTCATCTCCCCTCCAACCTCCTCTGCCCTCTTCAGAAGTCAATCCCCTCATTTGGGATACCTTGACTCCTTCTGTCACCAAACACCATCCTCCCATAAGGATTCAGCTTCTCGACCCCTCTAAATTCCTAAACCAGCCACAATACCCCATTTCCCTCCCCTATCAAAAGGGACTCAAACCTATTATTGACAAGTTTCTTGCTCAAGGCCTCCTAAGACCAACCCATTCTCCTTAGCTCACCCGCTCTACCAGGCTGCTAAGAGTCCCCTTTCAGAGCCCTAAAACCATGCTGTCAACATTGTCCCAGCCTTCAGAGCTCTTCAACAAGCTTTCCTCTTTGTCCCTGCCCTCTCCCTCCCAGACTTGTCTAAGCCTTTTCTTCTCTATGTAACCAAAAGACAGGGCATTGCCCTAGGAGTACTAGGCCAAAACAAGGGGCCAACCTTTGGGCCTGTAGCCTACCTGTCAAAACAGCTAGACGACACAGTGAAAGGATGGCCCACCTGTCTATGCGCCCTGGTGGCAGCTGCCCTTTTAGCTCAGGAAAGTAGAAAATTAACCTTTGGATAAGATACCACTATCTATTGCCCTCACAACCTACAGGACCTCCTTTCCTACAAAATGATGAGCTACCTATCACCATCAAGAGTACAGCAGTTTCACACCATATTCATAGAAACGCCCAACTTCAAGGTAGACAGAAGCCCTCCTCTCAATCCGGCGACCCTTCTTCCTGACCCCTCAAACTCTCTCACACATTCCTGTGTAGAAATCCTAGAACATCTAAACCCCATTTTCCTAACATTGTAGCAGAACACCTCCCAGACCCAGCTCTCATCTGGTTCATCGACGGGAACTCCACCACTCAGGATGGCACAAAAACAGCAGGGTATGACGTCATCTCCCTTACAAACACTGTAGAGGCAAACCCCCTCCCCAGACGGACTACCTCACAGAAGTCGGAATTGATTGCTCTCACTCGAGCCCTAACTCTGGCCAAAGGGAAAAGGCCAGTATCTACACTGATTCCAAATATGCTTACCATATCTTGCACTCTCATGCAGCCATCTGGCAGGAACAAGTGTTCCTATCCACAAAAGGGTCCCCCATCACAAATACCCCTCTCATTCTCCATCTCCTCCAAGAGGCCCATCTTCCTGACAGGGCTGGAGTCATACATTGTAAGGGACACAAAAAAGGAAGGGACCTCAGCTCAGTAGGTAACAACATGGCAGATGAAGAGGCAAAACAAGCCTCTCAGTCCCCTGCCCCAGCTACCCAACTCCTTGTCGTGCCACAAACACAGCCCCACTACTCCCCATCTGAACAGGAACATCTCGGCCCAAGGGGCCATCCTCCATGGAGACTGGCTCCTCTCCAGTAGGCGATATATCCTCCCCCAAGCCCAAGCTAGGGAGATCCTAGCAGTCATTCATCAAACCTCCCACATCGGGTTCAAGCCTCTATACCATCTTCTAAGGCCTCTACTAACCTGTCGACATTTTCCTACCCTTCTTTGTGAAATCACTGATGCCTGCACTATCTGTTCCATTGTCTCCCCACAAGGGGCCATCTGGCCTCCATCCTTTCCCACACACAAGCTACAGGGACACCTCCCGGGAGAGGATTGGCAAACAGATTTCACACATATGCCTCCTGTCAGGAAAACAAGATCCCTACTAACCATGGTAGATACCTTTTCAGGGTGGGTAGAAGCCTTCCCCACCACCTCGGAGAAGGCCTCTGAGGTCACCAAGGTCTTACTACATAACATTATTCCCCGTTTTGGGTTACTGCACTCCCTTCAGTCAGATGACGGCCCTGCCTTCCCAAATAACCCAACAGTTATCTGAGGCTTTGAACATCCAATGGAGGCTTCACATCCCCTACAGGCAACAGTCCTCAGGAAAAGTAGCAAAGGCAAACAGTATCATCAAAGCCCAGCTAACCAAACTCAGTCTGGAGGTGAAGAGACCCTGGATTGACCTCTTGCCCATAGCTCTCTCCAGTCTGCACCAGCCCTTGCGCCCCTACCTTTCTGAGCCCCTTGAAG